GCAGATGATGGTGTATTTTTCAAAAGAAGGGGGCCAAAGTGTATTGAAATACAGTGTTACTCGTTAAATTTTCTCCTAGAGAATAATAAAAAGGGTCGGCCCCGGGGCGCAGCGGCCCCGCGTTGGCCAGCATGAGCACGGCGAGCGAGAAGAGCGCGTGCGCGCGCCAGGCGTCCGAAGCCACGCCCCCAGGTCCAGGGTCCTCTTGTCCGAGCACCAGCGCGGCCACGGTGCACACGCCTGCGGGAACACGCGGGCCCGGCCTCAGTTTCCCCAGCTACACGGGGGTCCTGCCTGTGACCGCCCTGTGGCGCAGCTGCAGACTTTCGGGTGCCTCCCACACACAGTAAAGGAAACGTAAAAGGGGTGCTGCAACGCCCATACCTAGGGCAAGGCCGCCCAGAGATGTGAGCGGGTCTAATTCTGAGTCGCTGCCTCTGGGGACACCCATCCCTAGAAGTCACTCTGCTCTCTGCCCTCTAAGTCCGGGGCCCACACTGATGCCGCAGTGGAGGGCTTCTGCACTAGGGGCTCACTCTGGCCCATCCAGACAAGGTGCCCGTTTGGGGGACCCAGTGCCAGGTGGCCAAACTGCTGCTCACAGGACTCTTGGCCCTGCCACCAGTTTAGCTTCTGCTCAGGAAATTTGCACTCACCATCTGCTATCTCCACCAGCTCGCCAAGGGCCACTGGAGCTAGAGGGTGCAGGAATGAGGGGCTCGCTTGGGTCTGTTTCTTCATCTTTGGTGGCAGGAGAGGGAGGGCCGGAGTGATGCTTTCACACAGGTGGGGTGGGGTGTAGTGGAAGCACTAGGCTGTGTAGTCATACATGAGTTCAAGTCTCACCCAGAGCGTGACCCTGGACCAGTCACTTCACTGCCCTAAGCCTGTTTCCCTTCGTGAGGAATAAACAAGCTATGGGGAGTCCCAGGAGCTTCCAGTCCCCTCTGACTCCTTCCCTCCAAAGAGGTAGAGGAGGCAGTAGTGCCAAGGGGCCTTTCTGTATCCAGCATGGGCAGGCGAGGGACCCCAGGGATCTCAGGTGTGGCCAGGGTGGGCTGAGGAAGGAAAAACAAAACAGAAAAGTGGCCGAACATCCTGCCTGGCTACCCTGGCTAGATCTCGCTCCAGACCCCACCAGGCTGGGAGCCAACCCACTGGCTGGGAGCCCAGGCTGCAGCTCAGGGCGGGCTGGCCCACCCACTGGGGATGACATTTATTTGCACAAAGGAATGATCTCCAGGAGCCCTTTCCAGGCCTGAAGTCCAAAGCCTGCAAACACTGCAACCCTGGTGAGTTGTGGCTGTGGGGGAGAGAAGCTACAGTTCATGGGCCAGAGATGGTGGAGACAGAAGCTCAGGGCCCGCTGCAGTTCCTGCCGCTACAGGTGGCAGCGTTGGAAGACCTGGGGATTTTATTGTGTTCTTTAGAATTCATAGCTTGGCCTTCAGGCCTCTGCTTCATAGAACCTCTGAACAATCCCATGATTCCCCCATGCAGCCACTTCCCCCTCCCCTGCTCCCCACACTGCTTCAAGTTACCCAAGGAGCATCCCTTGCTGGTCCCCTGCCTCGACTGGCTTCCCACACCCTCAGGGACACCTTCAATGTCAGCTTTTGATCACTTCATCCACCCAACAGTGATAGGGGGCCTGCAGACAGATGGGTGTTGTGCTGGGGGTATCTAGTCACGGACGGTTCGCAAGTCGCTCTTGGCAGCCTGGGCAAGGTCTGCAGGCCAGGAGGCGTCTCCCTGGTGTCCGCTCTAGTCCTGGCCAAGTCAATGGGCCTGAAATCATGCTCCAAGGTGGTTTGAGCCCTCGCAGACGCACTTTGGAAGACAGACTTGGTGATCCGAGGGTGCGGAATCAGGCACTGGAAACCCCATAAAGCATGGTCCCCTCTCTCACACGTGCGGGGCCCCTTGAGTGGGAGGTGACGCCAAGACAAGTGGTTAGTATCCCAACTACCACTGGGGAGCCCCGAGCTACCACAGGATGATGGCATGGGAAGCCACGGAGGTTTATGCCTACTGTCGCTGCCCACCTGCACTCAACACACAGGTAACAGCCACCCGATTAGAAGGAGCCACTTTGCGAGATTTGGCCTCAAAATGAACTTGTGGGAGCAGAGAACTGACTCCTGTCGGAAGCCAGGGGATGAGGAGGAGGAAGCAGTCTGGACTGAGCTTACAGCATGCCCCCTGCAGGCCTCATGCCCCTTGGAAGCAGCCCACCATGACGGAGAACTGTCGCCGGGGTCTCTGGGTCTTCATCCGGGCCTTTCAAGAGGTAATAGAGCAGAGATGGGGTAGGAAGACCCTGACTCTGAAGCAGAACTGAGGGGACCTGATCCTGGGTCAGACAGCGGGGTCTGCGCTGCAGCTGGGGGGTTCAGCTTCCTGGCACAAGGAGTATGCATAGAGTAGGACCTGGCACAAGCTTGTCAGGACCTAGCAGCAGGGGTCCCTGGTTAGGAGGGAGTCAGAGTGAGTGGCTCCAGGGCTAAGGCTAGGGCACCAGATGGATGGAAATTCATCGTGACTCCGACCTGAGATGGGTTCCCTAATTTCTTTGTGCCTTACTTCCCCGCATCTGTGGAGTGTAGATGGTAATAATATATAACATACTGGGTTGCTATGAGGTTAAAATGACTTTGACTCAATAAATGTCCATGTATCTTGTACACAGTGCATGACACACAGCCAGTTTCAAACTCGTTGCAAAACTTAATTTATCCTTATTAAAGCGACTTGCTCTGCCAACACAGCAGACGATGGTGTATTTTTCAAAAGAAGGGGGCCAAAGTGAATCGAAATACAGTGTTACTCGTTAAATTTTCTCCTAGAGAATAATAAAAAGGGCGGGGTGGGTGCGTAAGAGGGTCCCATGTGGGGCAGAGTTCTGGGTATTCCCAGGTTCCGTGGCTGCCAGAGGGTATACAGGACTCACTTCTGTGTTTGTGACCTCCCAACCCCCGCAGCTGAGCCCCTCCCTCAGTGCAGCCAAGGGAGGCGGGAAGAGAGGCCTGTGGCTGGAGCCCTAACTCTGCAGGTCCCCGGGTAGTTCCTGCCCCATTCAAGGCAGGGGCTTTGGGGGTGATCCCAATTCACATATGTGCAGACTGGGGCTCAAAGAAGCCAGATTTGCCCAAGACCATACAGCAAGGAAGGGGTGGACTCTAGCCCCGCCTCCTTGGCCCCTGCTCTTTCTCTCTGACTTGACTTTCTCTCTGACGCTACCAATCTCCATGTCTTCTGTAGCCTAAGCAACGTCCACTCTGTAGCCTAAGTGCCAACCTTCCAATCCTTGGCGATGTCCTTACCTCTGGGATGCACCCTCCCCACCCCAGTTCAATGAATCCCTTCCAGGGGGTCAACTTTGCTAGGAGTCACTCCTGGAGACAGCAGGTGCCATGAGGGGACTCCGGAGACCCTGGTGAGGCCCCTGAGCAGCTGGGACTGGTTTGGCCTGTGGTCTAGCCTGATCTCTTCTCCGCAGAGCCTGGGCATTGTCCGGGTGGCAGCCAAGGGCCATTCGTCGGCTTTCTAGCTGGGCGGCCCTGACAGGCCCCTGGCGTCTGAAGACAGGGTGGAGACTGAGGGTAAGTGATCACTCCTGGGGGCCTCAGGGTTCTTGTCTGAAGATGTGGAGAGGGCTCTGAAGGTGGCCAGGCCCAGGGGAATCTGAAGGGTGGCCCGAGGACATCCCTGAATCCTTGTTCTGCCTTGGGCACCCCAGAAACAGAGGGTCCTCGGCCAAACCTCACCCAACCCACGGCTTGGCCTTTTGGAAGGAGGCTGTTGGGATATTTTTGCTTTGGATTGTTTTGAACCACACAGAAAGACAACTTTTCTGTGCCTGGGACAAATCTCTTTACCTTGCTTCCCCTTCTACTGAATGGGAAGAATCACCTGCTTCTCTCTGGGCCAGGAAGGGCAGCAGTGAAAATAGCTCTGTGAGTATTTCAGCTTGGGGGAGCCCTGCACGCTGGCCCCATAGTCATTTTTCTCTGGGGAACATGGCTTCTGCTTTGTAGACAAAGTACAACTTCCTCTCTCCCACCTCCCTACACGTCCTGGGTCCAGAACCAGCCCTGCCTTCCCTCCTGCCTATTTGAGCCCCCTTTCTCTAGAACTGTCATGGGAGATATTTCTGCAAGTTCCATCTTATCCCGCCCTCCCTTGCTCCAGTCCTCCCATGGCTCCTGAGTACCTCTGGGGAAATGTCGTGTTCCTCGTGTGGCTGATGTGATCCATTGCTGCCTCTCCCCTCCTTCACAGACCCCCTTCCTCGCCCTCACGCCCACTAGCCCGTTCTCTCGCCGAGTACACAGCCTGCTCTCCTTCGGGCCCTTTGCACGTGCTGTTGCTGCTGCTCAGAGCTCTCCTCCACATTTGATGGCTCAGTTCACTCATCTCCTAGGTCTCAGATTAGACCTTCCAGGATGTCTTTTCTGCCCACCCCTTGTAGACTAGCTCAGGACACCACGATCCCTGGAAACTTCAGGAAATTCTCTGCTTGCCCCTGTCTCACAGCCCTGTACCCCAAATGCAGGCCAGGGTTTGCCAAAGGGAGCACTTGGTAAGTGTTGAGGGACTGAAGGAAGACGCCACACGGACCGGGACACAGCCAGCCAGACACTGTGACGCCAGTGTTTGGGGGTTAGTGTGTGTGTGGAGTTTGTGTGGGGGTAGTAGGAAGGGGACTCCTCTTAGTGGGCCCCCAAAGCTTGGTGAGTGCCCACACTTCTGATGATTATTTATCAATTATTTATCACCAACCTGCAACTTTCTCTTCTTCAACTAGTGAGAGAGATCAGCCTCCCTTTTGCCCCCAGTCTCCATCTCTCACTGGGGCAGCTGCTGGAGCCAGAGGCAGTTTGAGCTGGGGTTCGGAACCTGCTGCCCTAAGCCCAGGCTTTTCTCTGCCAACAACCAGCATAGGCCCTTCAATCAGTCGTGTCTCTGTTCTTGGCCTCAGTTTCCTCTTCTGGAAAGTGGGACTCCTCACTCCTATTGAAGGACATGCCTGGCCATCGAGTCGATCCTGATGCTAAGTGACCCTATATAGGATACCTGAAGCTGCAAACCTTCATGGGACCAAAGAGGCTTATCTTTTCCCCCATAGAGCAGCTGGTGGGTGTGAGCCACCAACCTTGCAGTTAGTAGTCAAGAGGTTCATGAATATCTTTGACATGCCCAATCCAGAGCCTGGCAACCAGCAGGCGCTTGTTTACGTTAGGGGAGGTGCGGGGCAGAGCGGCCTGCAGGCACACAGCAAGCCCACAGTACAGCCCAGCTTTCCCCAGCTTTTGTCACGCAACTCACCCCAACCATCCTTTTTGTCCAAGCTCAAACATACGTATATATTTCCAAAGCCATTTTATTGGGACCTAATACAGATATAATATCATTCTATACAAAGTCCAATCACAAAAGAAAGTATATATAAAGCAAAAAAAACACACAACAACAACAAAAAAACAAAGTCCAATCACATCAAGCAGTATTGTACAATTGCTACCACAATCAAAACTTATTTTGGCCTTCATCTGGTTGTGAAAGAGCTACAAGGAGTGGCCACTAGTGGGCACTGGGCTCCTTCTAGGGAGCCCTGGTAGCATAGGAGTTACACATTGGGTGGCAATCTTCAAGGTCAGCAGTTCGAAATCACCGGGAAAGAGCTGGAGCCGCAGCAGCCTTCTTGGGATCAGGAGACACAAGTGGCCACCAACCTGTCA